AAACCCAGTGGGAGTCACTGTGAGTCAGAATCGACTCAATGGCAGTGAGTTTGGTTGTTATTATTATTATTATTATTTAATAAAGTTAAAAAAATAAAAAGATTATGTCTTCACAGCAAATACAAAAAGCATGCCATCAAAAAAATTTTAGAGATTGAGTAAACCAAAAAATAGGTGATTCCTATTTAGAGCAACCCCCATTGGGTTTCCGAGATGGTGAATCTTTATGGAAGTAGATTGCTCATCTTCCTTCCGCAGAGCAGTTCTTGGGTTTGAACCCCCAAACTTCTGGTTAGCAGTCAAATGCCTTCGGCACTGTGCCACCAGAACTCCTTTGAGATTGCATAGACACTAAAAATATAATTTTCACGCCCAATCAAAAAGATTCTAGGGTCTCAGAATTTTCTCACAGTTCAACCTGATTGGTATATATGTAATTTAAAGTATCATAAATGATTTCTTGAAGTAGATGCTTAGCATCTTGTTGTTGTTGTTAGGTGCTGTTGAGTCGTATCTGACACATAGCAACCCTAGGCACAGCAGAACGAAACACCACCCAGTCCCACACCAGTTCCATGATCCTTGCTGTACTTAAGCCCATCATCTTAAATTGTCCCACTGTGTCAATCCATCTCATTGAGGACCTTCCCCTCTTTCGTCGACCCTCTACCTTACCAAGTATGACATCTTTCTCCAGGGAATGGTCCCTTCTGACAACATGACCAAAGTAGGTAAGATGAAGTCTGGCCATTCTCGCATCCAAGGAGCATTCCAGCTGCACTTCCTCCAGGACAGATCTGTTAGTTCTTTTAGCAGTCCACGGTACTTTCAGCATTCTTCGCCAGCACCACATCTCAAAAGCATCAATTCTTCTTCGTCTTCCTTATTCACTGTCCAGCTCTCACATGCATACATGACGATTGAAAATATCATGGCCCGTGTCAGGTGCAACTTAGTCCACAAGGAGACATCCTTGCTCCTCAGCACTTGAAAGAGGTCCCCTTGCGGCCAACTTGCTCAGTGCTATATGTTGTTGTGGTATAGTAAATTACTTTGTGTGGCTTTTCTACCCATAAGTCTTTGTAAACTCCAAGGTGGGATTTGCTATGAGCAACTGAGGAGCTCCTGATTGCTGAAGGTGTCCACCTGGAGTATTTCTGTTGGGAGTGGCACAAAACAATGTTCTGGGAGGTGCC